TGCGTGCTTAGATCATATATGATCTGAGCGAAATTCAACGACTTAACACTTGTCATCTTAACAAGAATAAATTTAACGTGATACAATGTAGCAAGAGTTGTTAGTTGCCTGGAACTGCGATTTCAGAAGTCACGTAAGGTTTTAAACCACAGGAAAATCACTGGGCTTTTAAGAGGCAGAAAGCATACCCGAGTCGGCACTACTATAGTAAAAAAACGAATGCTTTTACCTTGTACATTTGATGCTTCAGCAGCTGCAACCAAGCCCATTTACCTGAGGTGTATCATGACACTATAAATAATTTGTTCACAGTCCTCTGTTTTGTGTTTCCTTTTTTTTCCAGATGAGGACGAGGTGTTTGAGTTCCCCGCTGTCACACCAGCAGTTCCAGCTCTCGACACTCAGTCCATCACCCTGATGACGGGCTCAGCCCAGAGAATCTCTGTGCGCCTGCAGAGAGCCACCATAAGCCAGGCTACGCAGACTGAACCACTGTGGCCTGAACATGCCTGGGAGGTGGCAGACAGTGGTGCTCACACCTTCCCCAAAATGAAATACAGAACTCACAGGAAAATGTCTAAAAACAAGGGTTTTGCCTGCTGGGAAAACCAGAGTGGGAGGCAGTACCAGGCAGGTTCTGCACCGCACGGCACTGGAAGCAGTGTAGACTCCCAGGAGAAGCCAGACGTCTCTGTAGAGCATGTACAGAACAGGGTTACACACAGAACAAAGGTAATGGAATAGATTATTTGTGGATTTTCATTCAAAAATCAAATTTTAGGCCGGAAGTGTTTCATTTGTAAAAGTCAAATCCCCAACAATTTGATGACCAGCAGAAGAAAACCTTTTTGGATTTGTTGCGTCTTTATATAAATCAATTTAAATTCAAATGAATTTAATTTTTTTTAACAGGAAGAGACCTTGGTCAGCAGTCCAGTTGGGTTGCGAGTAAAAAGGAAAAAACAGTGCAAAGAGAGACAAGACCAAAGTTAATGACATTCAGTAGTGACATGTAAACACATCAGCAGTGGAAAGAAGAGAGGGGCTCAGTGCATCCTGGGAAGTCAACCAGTGTAAACCAGTAATAACTAAGGCATGGTTCAGGGTCACCCAATTCAACCAAGCTGTCTGTCTCCTGAACCCAGACTGATGGCTCTGCTTCACGTTCTACTTTTGATTCTTTTTGTTTCTTTTTGGGTTAGATAACTTATTACTGTGTGACTTAGGACCAGTGTTGGTCAAGTTATTTGAAACAAGTAATTAGTTAACCATTACTGATTACTTCTCCAAAAAGTAATCCCATTACTTTACTGATTACTTATTATCAAACATAATTAGTTACTTAGTTACTTTTCAAAAACATGATACACAACCTGAATACGGAATAAAGCAAAAGACCTTTGAGCCATATTCTACTTTTTCTGCATAATCCATCATATAAAATTGAATCAAATGGAAAACCTCTTTCTAATTTTTTTATTTGTTTTAATCTTTCAATTTTATGCACATTGCATTAAGCAAAAATTTTAATTATATGCAACAGTCTTTGACTTGAAGAAATGTGTTTAACATTTAAACCTATGTTCTGCATATTCAATCATATAAAATATAATGTTTTGTGTTTACACTCGCTCTTTCAAATAGATGCAAGTAAAACACAGCAGGAAATACATAAAATCATTCAGCAGCACTGAGTCCTGTCGCTCTTAAATCTATGTTCACCTGTTTAGCAGGAGTGAGGCGGGTGGAGGTTTGCTTGAAAACTAAAAGTACATCCATGCTTTAAATGCTGCATGGATGTACTCTCTCCCACACTCCATATCATTGTTGATCTGCACACCCTTACGTCATTGTCATGAGACACTTTCACAAACAAAATCACGACAATTTAGTAACGCAGTAAGGCAGCTTACGGGAAAGTAACAGTAATCTAATTATAGTGTGCAATAGTAATCCCTTACGTTATTCTTAAAAATTAAATAAATTTATGTCACCAACCCAAACACACGTCTCTCCTCTTTCTTCCACTCCAGAACAGCTGACTCGGTTACAGTGGTGAGAACCGCTGGTGGAGATCCAGAAAGCCCCTAGTCGCTAAGACCAGGAGCTTCAGGGGGATATTCTTGGCTTTCTGAGGTCCCCCTTCAAAAACATGGAGTCATCATATCCTCTCAAGACTTCAGCACGATACAGACAGAGCGACATGGAGCTGACGTCAGGGAGAAGAGCTCTATAACATACAGTGTGTTAGCTCCAGGCAGAAAGACACAAGATGAAGGTTTTTCCTTATGGATTGTTGGCCAGTTGCTTTACAACGTCGAGCTTTCAAATGGAGCTCAGGAAGAATGTGAACAGAAATGATCTGGTGTTGGATTTTAATAAAGAGATGCAGCATCAAGGTCCTGATGTCACATGATCATAGCAAGGGGAATTTTTTGGATGTTTGTATGTGTAGATGGAAACAAAAGGAAACAGAACCTGAATGTAAAGGGAAACCAACAGAACATTTAGCACAAAGACTCATGAAACAGCATTTCTATAGTGACAGCTGCAGAGCGGTCTACCTTAATTTTATCTTGCAGGGTTTTTTTCAGCAAAAAAAAAAAATGCTGCAGACAACCTCAATCCTTCTGTTGTGATCTCTCTCTCTCCCATCATTGATATTTTATCGAAGATGATAAAAGCATTTTTTACAAATGCTGTACACCATCAAGTGTGGAAGGTTTCATAAATATGCGTTGTGATTTGCGTTTTCCTATTTTTCTGTGTCAAAACAAATAAAAAGTACATATTTATGCAATGTCATGCCATTTTGTCTTTGCTATCTGAAGGGATGTTTTTCATTGTAATTTGATGTTTCCACTGACTTTAAAGTTAAATCATGTGTCTGAGTTTAAGCCTGGCAGTGCAAGGTGCAGTGAGTCACACTCAGTAACTAAGTTAGTTATTGCTACATCAACTTTAGTCATGCTGTTGTTTGTGAGGTCCTGTTGGGAAGCCTCAAGCTGAGCATTTTTATCATCACCATTCTGGTCTTTATAGGACCAGCGAGGGGTGGATCTGACGTAGAAATCAAGAAACAATGTATGCCGTGGTGCTTAAACAGTGTAATATACAAAAATAGATATTAAATATACTAAAGAGAAAGTGATCACTCTGTGCAACTCCTAGCAGAGTTCTGTCACATAAAGGGAGCTTTATTGCTCCTGTAAATGAGTGCCATCTTGTGGCCACATTTGGTAATGTTTCTGGAAACTAGCTTTACTATGAGCCAGTGATGATTATTTCTAATGAGACTGTAAGGTTGTAGAGTGCAAATGTTGGCACTGTGGGGTTACCCTTATCAGTGCAGAGGCTGCAGCACTTGTAAACAATCATCCAGTTATTACTATTATTATCATAAACTGTTAGATCTGTTACTACTCCTTCAAGGAGAGGTCTGGACCTTGACCAGGCGTTACCACTGCAGTTCTTTGATTCTTTTCTTTGTCAACCATTCTACTGTAGGTATGATGGTGTGCTGTGCACAACAGGATGTCCTGGTGGCAAGACAGAAAGACCAGTTCACCTTTTTTAAAAATAATTTTTTCCCATTTACTCACTATTATTATTGTTGTTGTTGAATGAATAATTCATTTTCTGTCTTTATTTTCTTTTTTTACAGCCCCATTTTAGCCCTACAAAGTAACATTCTGATATCCAGAGATATACCAATCAGGAAACCCCTGGAGGAGTGAAACATCTGATTCACTAGGCCGACTTCATTACAGGATTTCCAACCGCTGAGAGCCATGTAAACAAGGATGCTTTGCATGGTGTTCATGCTCTGAGCTGACCATCGATGAAGGTCTGGAGTCCAGCTCAGAGCTGGCAGACCTCAGTCTAAGGACAATAAAGATGATGTCAAACTTTGGAAATCAACCACTTTACTCAGACTAATACTGTTGATTTGAACACTGCCACCTCAAGCTTCCCTTTCAACTTCTCGGGGTTGTTATTTATCTTTTCAGATCCTTCCAGCAAATGTCTTCTTCTATTGTTAATACTGGCACTTAATTACATCATCTAATTAAATTCTGTCATTACACACAGATCTATTTATGTGTATCAGTATTTCTGTATGAGTGCATGGGTACGTGTATATATAGATAACACTATGCATGAATATACATATATTAGTATAGGTATGTGAGCAAAATTGCATCCACGTGTGCATCTGTGTAGATGAACATATCAGGTTCATCACAGTTGAGATTTCAATTCTATTTTTCTCCCATCCAGGACAAGCTGTTTATAGCTTTTCCTGTTACCCTTGTATGTCCTCGTCTTGTGCTACTGTTGTTAAAAACAAAACAAACAAAAACAAAGTAAGCTGAATATACTATGGGAGCAGTAATTAGGCACTTGGTTAAAGTGTAACCAAAATCTATTACATAGTATTATTATAACCATAAAAATATCACATTTTCTGTGGTCGGCAAGTATCAGAAGCCCAATTCCACACACCAGCAACCCTGTGATTCCTGAGAAAGTGCTTGGACATTAGTCCAGCTCCAACTTATCTTCAAAGAACGTGTAGAAACCTTTAACACACTCACTTTACTGCAGCAAGTGTGAAAGCATTTAGGTTGGACAAAACCCAGAGTATAGCTACCAACGGTACATTTACTACACTTCACACATCTGTCTAGAATGTGCCTCAATTGTTGAACAAGAGGAAGTGGCCTACTGTGCATGTACAATTTTATTTACATCGTATACACCTAAACACCTCATGTGTCCAAAGACAGCAAAGTCATGTCCAAAATCATATGAAGCTGAACAGACTTCAGATCAGAAAGAAATAAAAGGAACTTGTGTGGGTCAGTCTTTCTCTGCAATCACCTGCAGTGAAGTGACAATGAAATGAAAGAATTTGGAGCTTTGTCACTGCTGTTTATTGCACTGCATGTCTTAATGCAGTTGGTACTAAACTGAAATTAGAGACCACACAAATCCACTGTTGGCTTAATACAATTTTATAAAGAACAAAGCTAATTTCACAGAGTATCTCAAAGATTTCATTTTTGACAAATCATTGTAATAAAAGACATGAACAGATCCACAGGAAACAATTTAAAAGTATTCATAACTCATTGAGCACACTGTCAAAGGCTGACGAGGCGCATGCAAGCTACCTGGATCTCATCCTAATGATTTCAAATTTTACTTTTTAAACAAATGGAGACCATTAGTACAAATGCTATAGAGTAAAGCAACATTTCCCAGTGTGACTGACGAGTCTCAGAGTGTCTCAGGTGTCGCCCAGTAACCTACACAGAAGTGTTCACTGTGGCTCCAGCACTTATTCAACAGAATAAGTAATAATAAGTATTAGTCTTCAGGCTTAAGGTCAAACAGATGTTTTTAAAAAAAACAAAAATAAAAAAAAAAACAAAAACCCAAAATGGGGAAAAAAAAAAAAAAAAAAAAAAAAAGCAGCATACAGAGCCTAATGCATTCATAACAAAACAAAAACTCATCCTTTGGCTTCTGAGCAGTGGGCGATAACTGCTAACGGGATTGCAGTGAGAAGGCAAACCACAATGCACATATATATCTATAAAAAACAATGTGTAGTTGAAAGTCCCTTTCTGGCTTGCTTTTACAAATTAAACATGCAGCCATGCGATATGGTATGATTACAGCATATCGTCATCATCTCCTCCTCCGTACATGTCAGCCAGTTTCTTAAAGCGAGGGCCCCATTCATTGAGGCAGTCATAGTTCTGGTCTCCACTGCCTGAAGAGTTCAAAGAGGAGAGACTTCCTGCATCAGAACCACCTCCCTCGTAGTCAAACACCAGCAGGGAGTCATAAGGGGGTGCTGTTGGGTCGTTGTCTGCAGCCTTCAGATTCTGTTGGAGGAAATTTTACACAACTTACTTCAATTACCTCACATGGAGCAGAATAACGTAACAGAATAATAAACGTGACCATTATTAAAGCACAGACATGATGTACTCTTAGCCAAAACATCCATCTTCTGCCACTTATCTGGGAGCAAGTCAATTAAACATCTCCCTCTTTTTCTTCTCTTAAAAACTAAATAAATTAAAGTTCCCTTCACCATGACTGGAGCCAAAGTAATGCCATCCAGCTTAAGTATGTCTAAGATTTTAGAGCAGGTCACCTGCCAATCGGAAGGTTGGTACACTGCAGGCCAAATATCCCTGAGCAAGATACTAACACGTGTGTGAACATTAGACAAAAAGCAATGAAAATGTATGCACGCCCTTCAAATGACATAAGTGCTTCCATGAGGCAGTAAGAGCTCTGCTTAGGTTCCCATTTTCTGTAATACTGTGGTCAATGTTATCAAATGATGCACTGAATTCACACCTCAGTACCACATTTCATTAAGTTTTGAGGAGCTTTAGAATCTCACTCACATCTTCAATGAAGTTGCCAATCTCCTCGGGGTTGGCAGGCCGTGGCCGGTACTGAGGAGCAGGCATGAAGTTTGGCATTACTTCATTCCTTAACACATCGGGGCGGTTGTCCAGGCCACGGTGGAGAACACTCAGGTCATAGTCCTGAAAGAAGGTGATTTAATGGTGCTTTATTACATGGAATATTTTTGCTGTACTTCTGCAATCCACTCTCTTCATCCACTTAGCCCATTGTCTACTCAAACTTTTCTATCAGTAAAAAGCCTGGGTCAAATCACTGAAATGGAACAAATTTGATCAGCCTTTTTAAACATTTCATCTCAAAAAGAAAATCTCAGGTTTTCTGTTCCTGAGACTTGTGTGTGTGCAGCTTTGATTAATGTGTAATCAGAATGAGTGACCATTTACCTGATCATCCTCGCCACCTCCTTCTTCATCATAGTAATAGACGTTGTCTCTGACACCATCATCCAGCAGGAGTGGCTCCTTTTTCTCCCTTTTCCTCTGTTTTGTAAACAGCAGCACTAGCAGCAACAGCGCTGAACACAGAGCACAACGTTTAGCACACAGTAACCAACCAAATCCTACTTAGCTGGGAAAGGAAAGAGATGCACCGTCCTGAGACTACAGATGTGTGACTCACCGAGCAGCAGGATGGCTCCAAGTATTCCGAGGATAAGGGGCAGGTTGCTGGCAGCTGCACCATAGCGTCCTGGACCTGAGCATGCAGTCAAGTCTGTGCCCCTGCAGTCACACACTTTAGCTGTGATGATGTTGTCCTGCCCCAAGCCATGCTTGTCTGCCACTCTCAGTATAACACTGTATTCTCCACTGGGCAGCTCAGTGGCTAAATTCAAGATGATGCCCGTTCCTGAAATAAGACAGCAGATATTTTACTTAATAATTCTGTGTTGATGGATTTGTTGTCTTATTTTAACAAAGCTTTACCACCTCTTCAAAGCCATGTTGCACCAATCTAATGTCAATGTTCAGTGGTGAACACTGAATTATGTCCGACCTAAACAATCCTAACATTTGCAAATCACATGTTAGCAGGAAAAATACATATTTTGGTTTCTGAACCAAAATATTTAAAAGTCTGGCCATCTTATCAGTTTATACTTGTCACATGTTAGCAGTGTACATACTGGTGTCGTTCATCCTAGCGGTCCAGTTGGTCTTTGACATGCCCTGTAAAGACACCGAGTAGGGAGGTCCAAATTCTGGTCCGTCTTTATCTGTTACTGACAGCAGCTGAGGAGCTGGCTCCTTGTTGCACACCTGAGCAAACAAAGTCACAGTGAAGCTTTTCTTTATGCTGATATGCTGTATCACATGACTGCACACTTGGACTTGCACCTTTTAATTGACCCCATCCTAGCTTCACTACATTTTACTGTTTGAGAAAGTAATTCATGCCTTTATTTCATCCAGGCTTGATTCCTGCAGCAGAGCATTTTGGAATCAGCCGTGCTCTGCTCTCTCGTCTACTACTTGTTAAAATGCAGCAGCCCGACTCCTGACAGGCACACGTAAACAAGACCATTTTTTCCATGTGTTGGCTCTTTTTCACTGGCTTACAGAACATTTTAGAAATGACTTCAAAATTCTGTTTGTTTTTAAGCCTGACCAGATTAGCTCCCTCTTAACCTCACACAGTTCTAACAGAACTTAAAGCTCTGTTTTACTCAATTTATTTGAACATTTTGGTCAACCTGTATTGTTTTTAAATTGTGCTTAAAAATAGATTGACTTTACATAGAAAGATTCTGCACGTGTTCAACACAAAACCGCTGTTGAGCTGATGGGAAATAAGACACCTTAATGTTACGCAGCTCAACGACAGGAGCATTGTCATTGACATCTTCCAGCTGAATGATCAGGGTACCAGTTCCTGTAGCTGGGACTGCATCTGGTAACAGAACAAACATCAGGAGAATAACATTTATTACAATGATATTTCACTTTATTGAAGAAACCCAAGTTCATAGTAATGCCCACAGGCTTTCCTCTAGACCTCTGATCCTCATAACTGGCACTTGGCTTTTAAAACAAAGATTTAAGGGCTAAAACTAATGGCTAAGATCAAATTAATTACTGAATTACTAATTATTAAATTATTCAAATTAAGGGTTGCAATGTTATTAGTTGTGAGTGTCCCAGGAAAGGCCGTAGGTGCTGGGATTTGAAAAAAAGACTCCATTCCATCATTCAGTGATCAGTCTGTGCAACATAGGATTTCTTGTTTTGCAACTTTATCGGGACATTATACAGGCTAGTCCAACTTATCCAATTTAAAAAGTGTTCTTCCATAACTTTTCAGAAATGGGAATTTTATTTAAAGTTATAAATTGTAATAGTCTTAACTGCCACCTACCATTATCATAGGCACCAATGGTTGCAGTGTATCTGTTGTTTGTGACGAAGATGGCCTCTCTGTCCATGAGTCTTCCCACTTTAATAAGGCCTGTGTCCTTGTCCACTGTCAGCCAGCCTGCAGGGTCATCAATCATTTTGTACCTGCACAAGACGGTCACAGAAAAGATGGCAATACTGTGAGGCAGGATGACTACAATTAGCATGTTTCACAATATGGCACAGTGTGTTATTTGATTTTGGACATCCTCTGCTTTCTCCTCAGGCCAAATACACGGTGACACATCAGTGAGAATTAAACACATTAACCGTTACAGGATTCTTGCATCATTTAAAAATACTGGTGGCCACTAGTCCATCAGCCTCCTAGTAGATGCAGCTATGGTATGAATTTGAATGTCCTAAGTTGCCTCATTC